AACCATTAAACAAGATGTGTCTACTAAATCTTGGTAATTATTCTTTCCAAGACTACAAGTTTCCTGTGTAGTTTGCATGTGATATTTAGTTTGTAAAATAACGTGAAAATAATTTTGTTTTTTAGGGAATGGGTATCGAACCAGATGAGCTCTATGGGTTGGAGCTGCTGGAGACTGTTGGTGTTTGTATAATACCAGGAAATCAGTTTGGTCAGCGACCAGGTACTTATCATTTCAGGTAAGCTTTGTTTTGCCTCACTAATGAATTTTTTTAGTTCTCATTGTATCGTTATTACTAGCCTAAGCAGTCTAGTGCTGTTACTATCGCCGACACGTTTTTTTCTGATTTAATTTTAAAATGCATATAAAATTAACGATTGCAGTGATACTCCGTCTGAAAGAGACATTATACTCTTTTCGCTTATACTAAAAGTTTAATTAATAATGAAATAACCCTGAAATGTTAACCCTGATTGTCATCTGTATTACAGGATGACATTTCTACCACAAATTGACGACGTAAAAATCATTCTGCAGCGAATCAACAAGTTTCAGAAGATATTCATGGAGAAATATCAATGAGAAAAACAAACATAAGGCTTTATAATTATGAGAGTTTTTTTTTTCAAAAAGTAATATAAGTTATTTATAAAACGTGGGAAATAATCGTTTTTTAAGTTAATTTCTAACTTTTTAACATAAAAATGAAAACCGTAGCTTTTCGAAAATAAACACAACGTAATTCTAGACTTTGAGAAGAAAAATTTAAATAGGAACTGTACTATAAACTCTGGATAATTGTACAAATTTGCAGCATTTAAAAGGTTAGATCATAAAGATCCAATAAGTAGTTAAAGCTCTGTAATTACAAAATACTGAAAAAGTGAAACACGAGATGTTTTATGGAAATATTTTTAGAAAGATACACAAGAAACGTAGTTAGTATTCTACGTCATAAGATAGAATAAATTAATCTTATTATTTGCTTTTGCATTGTTTGCATACTTTTTTTCAAGAGCATAGTTTTTATTCCGTAAATAGTGCATATTTATAACCAACTTTGACAAATATGGCATGGCAATCATTATGAACACTTTGGATTTAAGACTTACAAAAAAGAAAAGAAATGTCATTTAGAAACAGAAATCAAAAACAATTTATAATATTTCTATCAATTTTATTTAATTTTTTAGATTTAGAACTAGAATAAAATGTTGATTGTGATTGATGTTGATTTAATAAATTCACACCAGATATATTTTTCTCTAAAATAACAAACAAAGTTTGTTTAAAGAAATAACGAGAATAAACAAAATGTTTCACAATTTTTTTTTCGCCTGAGGTTATTTCCCCGAGAAGGGCCCGAAGGCCACCTGTTTTAAGCACTCGCACCACTATACAGTAGTGTGTTGTCTGTCAATCAATCAATAGACACTGAAATGACGTCACATAAGGCTCGCTTAACGTCGCAACTTTACTGTCGTGACGTCAGTAAAACGTGCGCTTGCCATAAATCATTAGAAGAATTATTTACTCTGTAGGCTACAAAACATCATGACATATGAACTTCAAGAGCAAGAAATACAAATATTTGTTACTCTTAATTTTGGACTGCGGAAATACATCTAGTATTAGTGTGTGTGCATTCGTTATTTATAGTTATGGAAAGTTTTTACATCAAACATATTTCTTCAGTTGTTGTCTTTACAGAAATTTTAGTTTTGAAGTTAGCAGGTACATGCGAGATGAGTAAAAGCCTAAATGCGGCAGATCAAGGTAGCGTGGGCGTCTCTGATTCGATACCGCGATCTTCAAAAAGAAGAAGAAGTAACCAATAGGGAGGAAGAAGTCTAAATTGCACCTGACCATCCCAACTTGCAAACTAAATACCGATCCGACCGTACGTCACAAGGAAATGGTGAAATTATTCATATATCCGTACTAAAGTAACCGTACTAAAATCTTTCAATTAAACTTGACTTCTCTAACACTAATAATGCTGAAGTAGACGTAAAAAATGTCGGTGCCTGCACCGAAAAAAAAAGTATGATTGTAGAATATTATATTGGCCCTTCTTCTTGATCGCGGAAGCTTCTAGAACTGATAGCAGTGTTGAAACAACTTAGAACAGATCGTGGCCATAAAGTATCTTCCAGAATTAATATATTAAATAGCTAACATCTTTAGAATGTCTGTAAAAAATAAGTTGATCGTGTAATGTTGAAGTTTTAAGCAACTGAAGTATCAGACAAGAAATGTGAGACTTGTTTCTCTAAGATTTTGGCTGGTGTTTATGGGAGATGATAGCAAATTATAATAAATTATTACCTTATAAATAGTGTTAAAGTTGATTTTATATTCTGGTTCCATTTTTAGAAAAGAGCTTTGAAAAAGTTAAGGCATTTCTTCTTAAAGTTTAGGAAACAATGGATTCGTAATTGTTTGGTCCTGCTGAATCCACAAATCCATGCTGGATTTAAAGCTTTGGATCTTCAAATTAGAAAAAAGAAAAATATTCCTTCATGACTCCTAATATAATCATGATCTAAGCCTCTTTTCTTACAATTTTGACACACAGAAGTCCACTAAATTTAAAGTTAAAAACTTCTATGATTTTTTCTGGTTTTATGGGCAAGGTCAAGGTAGTTTTTTTTTAATGGCGATCATAAAAATATAATCATTTCTATATTCCTTGATAACGTATGACATGTATGCACCAACTGAAACTAAATGAAACTAAACTATGCTGAAACTAAAAATTTAAACTTTAGGGTCATATCTTCTTGTTCTATAGGTAAGGTAAATTTTTCAAACTTTCAACCATAGGTGTCTCAAAAATGACGTATGATGCTGAGTACAATAATGATATTGGAAATGACATCTCATTTACTCTATGCATAGCTTGTATAAAGTGAGTTTTATACATAATCATACACAATAAGTGGTATCAAATGTCTGTTATAACCTAAGTGTATTACAAACAGCATATGAGAACAAAACGAAATTTTAGAAAGTTTATTTCACAAATTACACCTTCTTACTTGATATATCTTTAACGATTTAATTTTACGTTTACATTGTTTTACTTTAAGTTTTCCAGTTCGATTTTACAGCTTGATTTTTCAACCACAAAAAATCTTTCACGATAGAAAATGTAGCAGACATGAGAAACGGATTTAAATATCGTTACACAAGTGTTTTTAGGCTCATGCATATAAAATGAAGATATGCCCTTTAGTGTCTCTCACACGGATAAACTCTATTGGTATGTGACATTCTTGTGTTTTCAATGCGCTTCACGTATACACTTCAAGAGGCGCATGTCCTCGGCAGTAATTAAATCTTTACAATCTGCCAAAGGAATACTGAATACCTGATCCAAGTTTTCTCTCTGGGTAATAACTTTTCAATTTTGACAGATAACAAAAAATGGAGACTTTTCAGATGTCTGAGAGTTCCCAATTCGGTGTCTTTGTTGAGCTCCGAAACTTTGAAAAACCTTCACTGCTAAAACTTCAACTTAGCTGTAGTATGAGTTTTGATGCCGATGACTCCAGTATAGGAAGTTTAGTTTTATCTGTAAACCGGCAGTAGTGTTAGTTGTGCCTTGTAGGCCGTTCTTGTGATACTGCTGTATTCGGAATTCTATGTATAACATCTCTGTTTTCACTATTCGCAAGTTTTTCCTTTATATGCTCTTGGCATATAATGCACATGAACAGTCACTGGTAGATCTATTGAGACTGGAAAGTAGTTCAATTTTCTTACTCACCTGATACCTTCGGAACATGTGTTAGTACCATTCAGGTTAGTGCTAGCAGGATTTACTCTACATGAGGTTCTTCTATAACAACTCTACCGTGAGAAATCTATAATAGACGATAAATAAACTTATTGTACATATTGTTAGGCTACATAATGTGGATCAAAGGACACACATCTAACGATATATATGTATCTTATACTATGATTTGTTGTGGGGAAAAGTAACCTTGCTAAAATGAAAACAGTAAACAAAAACAAACAAGCAAATATAGACTTACTTAGTGCACACAAGTGTCTCGAACAGTTTTATCCTGAACACTTAGAAGTAACTGATTTCTTACATAGGAATATCATGATTGTAATTCATTTCAGACAACGTCATATTGTGGCTGCCAGTTTTAAGAATTGACTTTAAGCTTATCTGAAGAATCAAGTTATACATGATCACACAGCTTATGTTTTAGTTCCAGTGGATTTCTTGATAACCAAGTTGTACATGATCATACAGGTTATGTTTTAGTTCCAGTGGATTTCTTGATAACCAAGTTATACATGATCATACAGTTTATGTTTTAGTTCCAGTGGATTTCTTGATAACCAAGTTATACATGATCGTACAGTTTATGTTTTAGTTCCAGTGGATTTCTTGATAACCAAGTTATACATGATCATACAGTTTATGTTTTAGTTCCAGTGGATTTCTTGATAACCAAGTTATACATGATCATACAGTTTATGTTTTAGTTCCAGTGGATTTCATGATGCCAAAATGTGAGAATAGAGTCTTAGATCATATTTATATCCTATTAGACTTTTATGGTGATTTAAAAAAAATTACCCTGAATTACCCATAAAACGAGAAAGAAACGATCAGTTATTTTGATTTTAGTTTTAGCGGATTCCTTGGTGTTAAGATATAAGAAAAGAGATTTGGGTCCTCATTTTATTCCAATTAGGTAGTGGATTCCTTAGTGCTAAAATATAAGAAAAGAGATTTGGGTCCTCATTT